CATAATGATATAGGATAGGCACGGATGTAATGATATAGGATAGGCCCAGATGTAATGATATAGGATAGACTCAGATGTAATGATATAGGATAGAACCAGATGTAATGATATAGGATAGGCACGGATGTAATGATATAGGATAGGACCAGACGTAAAGATATAGGATAGAACCAGATGTAATGATATAGGATAGGCAAGGATGTAATGATATAGGATAGAACCAGATGTAATGATATAGGATAGGCCCAGATGTAATGATATAGGAAAAGACCGGATATAATGATATAGGATAGGACCGGATGTAATGATATAGGATAGGCCCGGATGGAATGAATTGGGATAGGACCTGATGTAATAATATAGGAAAGGACCGGATATAATGATATAGGATAGGACTGGATGTAATGATATAGGATAGGCCCGGATATAATGAGATAGGATAGGCCCAGAGGTAATGATATAGGATAGGCCCAGATGTAATGAATTGGGATAGGACCAGATATAATGATATAGGATAGGACCGGATGTAATGATATAGGATAGGCCCGAATATAATGATATAGGATAGGACCAGATGTAATGATATAGGAAAGGACTGGATATGATAGGCCCAGATGTAAAGATATATGATAGGACCAGACGTAAAGATATAGGATAGAACCAGATGTAATGATATAGGATAGGCAAGGATGTAATGATATAGGATAGAACCAGATGTAATGATATAGGATAGGCCCAGATGTAATGATATAGGAAAAGACCGGATATAATGATATAGGATAGGCATGGATGTAATGATATAGGATAGGCATGGATGTAATGATATAGGATAGGACCAGACATAATGATATAGGATAGGCACGGATGTAATGATATAGGATAGGCCCAGATGTAATGATATAGGATAGACCCAGATGTAATGATATAGGATAGAACCAGATGTAATGATATAGGATAGGCACGGATGTAATGATATAGGATAGGACCAGACGTAAAGATATAGGATAGAACCAGATGTAATGATATAGGATAGGCAAGGATGTAATGATATAGGATAGAACCAGATGTAATGATATAGGATAGGCCCAGATGTAATGATATAGGAAAAGACCGGATATAATGATATAGGATAGGACCGGATGTAATGATATAGGATAGGCCCGGATGGAATGAATTGGGATAGGACCTGATGTAATAATATAGGAAAGGACCGGATATAATGATATAGGATAGGACTGGATGTAATGATATAGGATAGGCCCGGATATAATGAGATAGGATAGGCCCAGAGGTAATGATATAGGATAGGCCCAGATGTAATGAATTGGGATAGGACCAGATATAATGATATAGGATAGGACCGGATGTAATGATATAGGATAGGCCCGAATATAATGATATAGGATAGGACCAGATGTAATGATATAGGAAAGGACTGGATATGATAGGCCCAGATGTAAAGATATATGATAGGCCCGGATGTAATGAAATGGGATAGGCCCGGATGTAATGATATAGGACAGGACCAGGCGTAATGATATAGGATAGGACCGGATGTTATGATATAGGATAGAACCAGATGTAATGATATAGGATAGAACCAAATGTAATGATATAGGATAGGCCCAGATGTAATGAATTGGGATAGGACCGGATGTCAGAGTTCAAAGGTCATGGTCATTGCTACTGTTTATAGAAAATCATCAAGCCCATACCTTACATGAGTTTGTCTCTTACAAGTCACATCATCATCTTTATTCATAATACAATCAGAGATATGGGAACAGAGGAATTAGACATTTTATTGTTAAGGAAACTTAAGTTGAAATAACTGATAACATGAGAAATGTTTTATTGTCACTTTGCATTGATTAATACAAGATTGAGATATGGTTTCTAGTTTGTATATTTCATCATTTCAGGTGTAACTTACAGGTATATTTACCTTTTTCATCATCAGCCTTTATGGCTCACAACAGACAAGGAATGTCCAGACTACCTCACTGTTACAATCAATCACTCATGTTTCCATCGTTGAACATTTTAAAATATTTGCATGCTTCAAAAATTATAATTGTTCAGAACATGTTGTCTTTTCCAATCGCACCATCTTTTTTTTTCATTCTGATCATACACTGCATGCCATTGATCCTTATATGATATGTAGGTGGTCATCAGCCATCTATGTACCAGCAATGCTGTATAGCACCAGCATAGATCTGAGTTTTTATCCCACCATCATCAGATGGTGGGCTATTCAAATTGCCTTGCCCTGTTGTTAGTCTCAAACAATTTTTGTTATTGCTATTTCTTGGAAAGTACTAGATGGATCTTTCTCAAATTTCATATGTAGGTTTCCTTGGTCCTTAGTTGTATCCATATGATTTTGGAACTGATCAGAAAAAACAAAATGGCTGACAGGTGGCCATCTTAGATTTTAACTTAGTTTGTTATTGCTATTTCTTGAGAACTACAGCACAGATTTTTCTCAGATTTCATGTGTATGTTTCCCTTGATCCCTAGTTGTGCCTGTTAGATTTTAGAACTGATGAAAAAAATAAAATGGCCCACAAGCACTACTAGTTGGTGCCTGTCTGTCTTTAGGACTGATCAGAAAAACAAAATGACAGACAGGCAGCCATCTTGGATTTCACCTAGTAAAAATTGTTATCCCTATTTCTTTAGAACTACTAAATGGATCTCTCTCAAATTTATATGTATGTTCTATTTGGTCTCTACTTGTGCCAATTTGATTTTGTGACTGATCAGAAAAAACAAAACGGCTTCCAGGTGACCATCTTGGATTTGGCAGGTAAAGATTACCACCACTATTTCTGCAAAGGAATGTTAAAATGTCTTATCATTAAGAGCAAAAACAGATATAAGAAGAGAAAAGAAGGGAAAAGATCCAACTTTCAAAGAGCAAATAAAAATTAAAAAATGGTGGATGCCAAGATCCCTCTTGTTTAGCAGTATCCACTCTTGGGTATCATTGTAAACTGAAATATATTTAACAGAGGACATAGTTCTGTTAGTATCATGTACTTTTCACTTTTGAGGGGGATATATACAAATTTTATAAATCAGGTTCAATAGAAATTGCCAAGTTTGTTAAAAGTCAAGTTGTGAAGGTAGAATTATTTCTAAGTCTGTTGATATTTTAACAGATACAGTGATGGATAATAAGATGTTTGTCATGAAGTTAACTTTATGTATGTGGTTACAAGATCCTCATCAACAAAACGTTTCGCATTGAAGAGTATGTTTCCTATCTAGCATGTTTACAACATTGTGTTTTTGTTTCAAGTTTTTTGTTTCTGCATGGAATGATTTACGAGTATGTTGATTTTCTGCTGTTGATTACAAGCATGCACAGGATGGAGAACTTCAAATTCTGAAAATTTCATATACGCTGTTTCACACTCCTTAATGAAATTAACTTAGTGTGCTAGCCAAATTTTAAAACATTTTCATTTGAATATACATGTATGACAATTTACCTAAATATGAAGAAGAGTGAAGATGATAATTAAAGTAGTAAAAAAATTCTCTTGAGCAAAAATAATTTAAGAGTTTATTACTTGTGTTTAAAGTAAATGCATACTTTTTAAACAGCTGGCTTGGTTTAAGTGATGATGAGTAATACTAGTACATTTTATTCCAGTTGTCTCCCTTACGCTGTTTTAAATTGTAGAAATCCTCACGTAGGAATTCTCTTCATTACACCTGTGTCGCTATTATTTGTTGAATAACAGAAAAACCTGATCATACTACAGCTGTCTCCCTGAAACTGTTGTGTGGACCTATATTTTATTTCATTACTCTGTTTTTGCCAAATTTTGGGAAATGCACTCTTGTAAAACCATTGCAATGTTACTGTAAAATTGGTAATTTTCTTGGAGCTTTATTTTCATTTATTTTGCTAATGCATAAAGTTATATGAATTAACATTTTTTGATACAACTAGATTTTGTATGTATTATTTATTCATTTGCACTAGTTTTATAGAATAATTATGAATTGAAAATCATACAGCATACATTATTGATTTCACAAGAGGGTCATCCGTAGTGAAATCTCTCAGATAGGACTCAAACATTCTAACAAAATGTATCTTGTAGCTTCAAGATATAATTTTTATACAATCCTACTTCAACCATTGTATTTTGTACCAAGACAAACAAACAGGTATGTGTTTAATGTACAAAGTGTTACGGCATGGAAATTACATGAAGCATTTTATATAAAAGCTTCAAAAATAACATCCTATATCAAAATCAAAAATAACATCCTATATCAAAAGCTTCAAAAATAACATCCTATATCAAAAGCTTCAAAAATAACATCCTATATCAAAAGCTTCAAAAATAACATCCTGTATCAAAAGCTTCAAAAATAACATCCTATATCAAAAACTTCAAAAAAATCCTATAACAAAAATAACATCCTATATCAAAAGCTTCAAAAATTACATCCTGTATCAAAAGCTTCAAAAATAACATCCTATATCAAAAGCTTCAAAAATAACATCCTATATCAAAAACTTCAAAAATAACATCCTATATCGAAAGCTTTAAAAATAACAACCTATATCAAAAACTTCAAAAATTACATCCTATATCAAAAAATTCAAAAATAACATCCTATATCAAAAGCTTTAAAAAGTACATCCTATATCAAAAGCTTCCAAAAATAACACCCTATATCAAAAGCTTCAAAAATAACACCCTATATCAAAAGCTTCAAAAATAACACCCTATATCAAAAGCTTCATGTTATTTCCATGGCATAGCACTTTGTACATTAAACACATACCTGTTTGTTTGTCTTGGTACAAAATACGGTGGTTGAAGTAGGATTGTATAAAAATGTACATATATTTCCAGAAAATCCATTTCAGAATATTGCCATTTCAGCTAATACAATTTACATTTTTTATTACTTTTCTGATATGTAATGATCATTTCACCAAATTAAATACAAGTTATTTTTTCCCTCAGCGTAAAAATACGGTGATAAGTCCAGACTACCCAGAACCTTTCCACCAACAGCCTTCACAGACACAAACTTTGACCTCACCACGAGCCAAGCAATGGGGGCCAGCCAAGCATGCTGACCGCACAGAGTTCTTTGATCTTATTAGGTATTTATGATTTGGTATTTCTCCTGAACAATTCCAATGTTGGATATATTCAATATTCTGCAGTGTGTACACTGCTAACATCTGGTATATATACATAAAGGAAAGGTAGACTCTGCTGGTGTCTTTTCACAGAATTAAAGTAAGATATTATTGGCAGTCTTGAGTCTCAATATCAGTAATAAGGATTGATGTGCAATAAGAACACATAGTAAAGTCTAGTATATATTTATACACATTGTAATATCTGGAGTGTATGTATACACATTGTAATATCTGGTGTGTATGTATACACATTGTAATATCTGGAGTGTATGTATACACATTGTAATATCTGGAGTGTATGTATACACATTGTAATATCTGGTGTGTATGTATACACATTGTAATATCTGGTGTGTATGTATACACATTGTAATATCTGGTGTGTATATATACACATTGCAGTATCTGGTGTGTATTTATACACATTGCAATATCAGATGTGTATGTATACATATTGTAATATCTGGTGTGTATAGATGCACATTGTAATATCTGGATGCACATTGTAATACCTGGTGTGTTTGTATACACATTGTAATACCTGGCGTGTATATATATATGCATTGTAATATCTCGTGTGTATGGATAAACATTGTGATGTCTGGTTATTTATACACATTGTAATATCTGGTGTGTATCTATACACATTGTAATATCTTGTGTGTATGTATACACATTGTAATATCTGGTGTGTTTGTATACACATTGTTATATCTGACGTGTATGTATACACATTGCAATATCTGATGTGTATGTATACACATTGTAATATCTGGTGTGTTTGTATACACATTGTAATATCTGGTGCATATATATGGTATGTATGTATACACATTGTAATATCTGGTGTGTATGTATACACATTGTAATTACTGGTGTGTATCTATACACATTGTAATTACTGGTGTGTATCTATACACATTGTAATATCTGGTGTGTATCTATACACATTGTAATATCTGGTGTGTAACTATACACATTGTAATATCTGGTGTGTATCTATACACATTGTAATATCTGGTGTGTATGTATACACATTGTAATATCTGGTGTGTATGTATACACATTGTAATATCTGGTGTGTATCTATACACATTGTAATATCTGGTGTGTATGTATACACATTGTAATATCTGGTGTGTATCTATACACATTGTAATATCTGGTGTGTATCTATACACATTGTAATATCTGGTGTGCATATATATGGTATGTATGTATACACATTGTAATATCTGTGTGTGTATGTAATATACACATTGTAATATCTGGTGTGTATCTATACACATTGTAATATCTGGTGTGTTTGTATACACATTGTAATATCTGGTGTGTATCTATACACATTGTAATAATCTGGTGTGTATCTATACACATTGTAATATCTGGTGTGTATCTATACACATTGTAATACTGTTATCTGGTGTGTATCTATACACATTGTAATATCTGGTGTGTATCCATACACATTGTAATATCTGGTGTGTATGTATACACATTGTAATTACTGGTGTGTATGTATACACATTGTAATATCTGTGTGTATATATATACACATTGTAATATCTGGTGTATACACATTGTAATACTGGTGTGTACTATACACATTGTAATATCTGGTGTGTATCTATACACATTGTAATATCTGGTGTGTATCTATACACATTGTAATATCTGGTGTGTATGTATACACATTGTAATTACTGGTGTGTATGTATACACATTGTAATATCTGGTGTGTATGTATACACATTGTAATATCTGGTGTGTATGTATACACATTGTAATATCTGGTGTGTATGTATACACATTGCAATATCTGATGTGTATGTATACACATTGTAATATCTGTGTGTGTATACACATTGTAATACACATTGTAATATCTGGTGTGTATATATACACATTGTAATATCTGGTGTGTATCTATACACATTGTAATATCTGGTGTGTATGTATACACATTGTAATTACTGTGTGTGTGTATGTGTAATATCTGGTGTGTATGTATACACATTGTAATTACTGGTGTGTATGTATACACATTGTAATTACTGGTGTGTATCTATACACATTGTAATATCTGGTGTGTATCTATACACATTGTAATATCTGGTGTGTATCTATACACATTGTAATTACTGGTGTGTATCTATACACATTGTAATTACTGGTGTGTATCTATACACATTGTAATATCTGGTGTGTATCTATACACATTGTAATATCTGGTGTGTATCTATACACATTGTAATATCTGGTGTGTATGTATACACATTGTAATATCTGGTGTGTTTGTATACACATTGTAATATCTGGTGCATATATATGGTATGTATGTATACACATTGTAATATCTGGTGTATATTTATACTCAATTTAATATCTGGTCTGATGGAAGCACATTGTAATATCTGGTGTGTATCTATACACATTGTAATTACTGGTGTGTATGTATACACATTGTAATTACTGGTGTGTATCTATACACATTGTAATATCTGGTGTGTATGTATACACATTGTAATTACTGGTGTGTATCTATACACATTGTAATATCTGGTGTGTATGTATACACATTGTAATTACTGGTGTGTATCTATACACATTGTAACTATACACATTGTAATATCTGGTGTGTATCTATACACATTGTAATATCTGGTGTGTATCTATACACATTGTAATATCTGGTGTGTATCTATACACATTGTAATATCTGGTGTGTATGTATACACATTGTAATTACTGGTGTGTATCTATACACATTGTAATATCTAGTGTGTATGTATACACATTGTAATATCTGGTGTGTATCTATACACATTGTAATATCTGGTGTGTATGTATACACATTGTAATATCTGGTGTGTATGTATACACATTGTAATTACTGGTGTGTATCTATACACATTGTAATATCTGGTGTGTATGTATACACATTGTAATTACTGGTGTGTATCTATACACATTGTAACTATACACATTGTAATATCTGGTGTGTATGTATACACATTGTAATTACTGGTGTGTATCTATACACATTGTAATATCTGGTGTGTATCTATACACATTGTAATATCTGGTGTGTATGTATACACATTGTAATTACTGGTGTGTATGTATACACATTGTACCTGGTGTGTACTGGTGTGTATCTATACACATTGTAATTACTGGTGTGTATGTATACACATTGTAATATCTGGTGTGTATGTATACACATTGTAATATCTGGTGTGTATCTATACACATTGTAATATCTGGTGTGTATCTATACACATTGTAATTACTGGTGTGTATGGATACACATTGTAATTACTGGTGTGTATCTATACACATTGTAATTACTGGTGTGTATGTATACACATTGTAATATCTGGTGTGTATGTATACACATTGTAATTACTGGTGTGTATCTATACACATTGTAATTACTGGTGTGTATCTATACACATTGTAATATCTGGTGTGTATCTATACACATTGTAATTACTGGTGTGTATCTATACACATTGTAATATCTGGTGTGTATCTATACACATTGTAATTACTGGTGTGTATCTATACACATTGTAATTACTGGTGTGTATGGATACACATTGTAATTACTGGTGTGTATCTATACACATTGTAATTACTGGTGTGTATCTCTGTTGTGTATGTATACACATTGTAATTACTGGTGTGTATGTATACACATTGTAATTACTGGTGTGTATGTATACACATTGTAATTACTGGTGTGTATCTATACACATTGTAATATACACACTGGTGTGTATCACATTGTAATTACTGGTGTGTATACACATTGTAATTACTGTGTGTGTATACACATTGTATACACATTGTAATTACTGGTGTGTATCTATACACATTGTAATATCTGGTGTGTATCTATACACATTGTAATTACTGTTATGTATCTATACACATTGTAATTACTGGTGTGTATCTATACACATTGTAATTACTGGTGTGTATCTATACACATTGTAATTACTGGTGTGTATCTATACACATTGTAATTACTGGTGTGTATCTATACACATTGTAATATCTGGTGTGTATGTATACACATTGTAATTACTGGTGTGTATGTATACACATTGTAATTACTGGTGTGTATCTATACACATTGTAAATTACTGTGTGTGTATACACATTGTAATGGTGTGTATACACATTGTAATTACTGGTGTGTATATATATGGTGTGTATCTATACACATTGTAATTACTGGTGTGTATCTATACACATTGTAATTACTGGTGTGTATCTATACACATTGTAATTACTGGTGTGTATCTATACACATTGTAATTACTGGTGTGTATCTATACACATTGTAATTACTGGTGTGTATCTATACACATTGTAATTACTGGTGTGTATCTATACACATTGTAATATCTGGTGTGTATCTATACACATTGTAATATCTGGTGTGTATCTATACACTGTGTGTGGTGTGTACATTGTAATTACTGGTGTGTATACACATTGTACTGGTGTGTATACACATTGTAATATCTGGTGTGTATGTATACACATTGTAATTACTGGTGTGTACACTATACACACTGGTTGTAATATACTGGTGTGTGTACACATTGTAATTACTGGTGTGTATTATCACATTGTACTGGTATACACATTGTAATTCTGGTGTGTATCACAAATATACACATTGTAATTACTGGTGTGTACACACAACCTAACATAGTAACTAAGTATACACATTGTAATATCTGGTGTGTATGTATACACATTGTAATATAGAAAAACAACTGGTGTGTATGTATACACATTGTAAGGAGATGGTGTGTAACCATACACAGGATATATGGGATCAACAATTGCAGCTGAAGCCCATTATTATAATGTTCTGATAAGTTGTCAGATATTTTATCAGTGTTTTGGTTATTTTCTCCTAAGTCGCTTTTTCTATAACTTATGTATCCCATGCATATTTCAGTCATAATTTTAACAAACTTTTCAGTAGATAATGATAAGAGAGAAGAATATTCAAGTGATGCGAGAGTAAAATAAAAGTAAGATAATAGTAATTATACAGACAGCACTGTTCAGTATGGCTTTACTCTCCCCTATTAAGTATACATGAAAGTACAAAGAGTATGTGATTATTCTGCTAAAGGAAACACGTCCATATAGACTCTGCAGTCTGATAGGTTTTTTTGTGGTAGGTAACTGAAACAAACACAAATTACTCATGCACTTTCATAATTAAATACTGTGGCAATTCAGTAGAATGTAATAAGGAAATGGAATGGTGTAAATTACACTGTTGTGTGTAGTTAGAAATATCTTTCAGACAATTTCGTAGCTTGTCTATTTTCAAATTGCTTCCTTATCAAACGTGTGGTATAATAATGGTACTTGACAAAAGAGGATATGTTTGAAACATGCCAATTGGCCAAGTGCTGAAAAAACCAACCATAGAAAAACTAAGGGGGTAAAGTCAATAATCAGTTCCTGATCAACTTATCTGCCTGTTAGTTTGTCAGTTCATCAGCCAGTGTGACTGTCCATTAGTTTATTAGTCCTTCAGTCACTGTGACCTTGTCCATTAGTTACTTAGTCATTCAGTCTATGTATCCTTGTCCGTTAGTTTGTCAGTTCATCTAAATGTGACCTTGTCAATAGATTTCTTCATCCTTCAGTCTATGTGACCTTGTCCATTAGTTTGCCAGTTCATCTTACTGTGACCTTGCCCATTAGTTCCTTAGTCCTTCAGTCTCTGTGACCTTGTCCATTAGTTTGCCAGTCCATCTGTGTGTGACCTGGTCCATTAGTTTGCTAGTCCATCTGTTTGTGACCTTGTCCATTAGCTTCCTAGTTTTTCAGTCTGTTTGACCTTGTCCATTAGTTTGCCAGTCCATCTGTGTATGACCTTGTCCATAAGTTTCCTTGTCTTTCAGTCGTATGACCTTGTCTATAATTTGCTAGTCAATCACCCAGTGTGAACTTGAGTTTGTCAAGTGTTTGTGATCTTGTCCATTACTTAGGCACTCCAGATTTGCTCCACCACCAAAACCTGACACACCCTTATACAACCCTGACTGTTATAAGGACATAAAGTAACAGACTAAATGTTTTTTGGTGACAGATCTCTCACAGATTTCAGTCAACCTTTTTGAAACTTGGTAGGCTTGATAATAGCATAGATTTATGCTTTTGATTTGAAAATGATTGTTATCTCTCCATATTTTTGCATGTTGATAAAATATTGTGAATGTGGGAACTGGAAAGGCATATTTTGTGAGAACAGTTATTAGGAGGCAGTGTTTGAGACTGGGCTGTATGTATACCATTGAACAGCTGGTGGGTCCAAGAGGTTTACAAGTATATTAAAGTGGTGCAATTAAAGCATTACTAGATTACACCAAACAGCATGAAGAACTCCCAACATGCTGTTACTTCAAGGCTGTTTAATAAAGCTAGCAGTATTCATTTAAATTCCATTCCTCATTTTAACAATAGCCAGATTCCATACCATAACTAGTGATCATGGATGTGTTGTTTGTTTGACTGCTAAATATATATATATGTAACAGACATTGAACAGGAACAACAGCTGATAAAACGTAAAGATTCAAATTTTTTACATCAATGATCCTGAATACTAATTTATGTATAACTGTCACTTTGTTTATCTCTCTGTTTTATTTTTTCCTGACTGTAGAAGCCAATATTTCAGGACTTTGCTCCAGCGGGATTGCCGTATTCCCAGAAACTGCACTTTCCAAAACACATGTTCTGAATATATCATGGCAATAGAATTTGTTTTCATATTCACTGCATGACTCTCAAAGACATTAGGTATTTTTGTTGCTTACAATTAAGGTGAATTTCACAAAGCTATTGCTAATTTGATCAAAGAAAGGTCTGTCATATTTATTATTTCTTTAAACAATGTTCAATGAACATATGTTACAGAACAAACCCCAGGAATTACACAGTAGTGGTCAATGATGGTGTGACACGGTCAGAAAACTTGTCAGGTTTGATGAGTTTTGCTGTAAATGGAGATGAAACCAAAGTAGCATGGCCAGAGATGCTGGCAGATGAAGTACACAGAATCTCTACAAGAGATAGTGAAGATGTCACTGGCCTGGAAGAATGTTTCAAAAAAGTGTGCAAGGTATGTACATGTGGCCTTCCTTTAAAAAAAAACATAAATTCAGGATGGCATGGTTTATGGAATTTGTTATTTCAGGTTTAAAATAATAATGAGTATGAATGCCAACTAAAATCATGTAATTTCAGAATCTCTCAAATTTTCACCCCATTTTTGCTGATTAAGACTAATAGACTCTTTAATGGTTCTGCTCCGTGGGCGGGAATATCTCAACCTGACTGTAAAGGTCAGCATGAAACTTGTCGAGTGCTGACCATACAAACTCTTAGATGATCTTTGAAATACATCTCTTTTGATGGAACAGGTCCATATTTGATTGTGTATCTCAAAAAAACAAAATAAAATAAATTAAAATTGAATAAAATAATAATAATAATAATAAGTTATAATAAAAACAGTAAAAAATTGGAAGTTGTTGGGAAACCTAATGATCATAACTATCATCGATGTCCCATGAAACATGACTTGATATTGTTGATGTTTTCAATTTATGACATGGTTATACTGCATGTAATAATGACGTTACCTAATTCTGAGTAGCGTCACAGCACATGGGATCACCCTGTAAAATAACAGAGAAAAAACTTTTTATCCTCAGAGAAAACATGTTTTGATATTTTACAAACCATTGTGAAAATCAGTCAAACATGAAATCTTGAACAACATTGTTGTTGCTTACCTTGTCGTTATAAATGCATGACATCAGAAATGAGAGAATACAGGTCTTGACAAGGAAAGTAACTCTAAACCAGGGCCCTGTTTGTGGCTTCATTTTTAGTACTGAAGGAAGAACATGAGTCTTCCTCTGAAAGTTTTTATTATGATTAGTGGTACGTTTTAAAATATCTTATATGTCACCGAAGATATTGTAGGTTATCCTATGTTGAGAGATTTTATGGTAGAGTTAAAATGATCTGAAAATCAGTCATTTGCTCCCGACTTTTCAGTCAATCCATGAATTCTCGACTTAGCTAAATTTCCGGTCATTAAGTAGCTACTATAAATTGGAGGTTTGGATATGTTGTAGTGTCAAGTTGAGCAGTGTAACACCTTCCAAGTGATGGGTACAGTCTGGGATCAGTGGCAGAAGGGATAAACAATATGCCACTATCCTGATCACTCACACTTAATCTGTCCCTGGCTGCTCAGGTCTGGATAGCTTGATCCAACTACTAACTTAGCCTTTATCTCTAAGATTCATATCCTGTTACACAATGTGTACCATTTCCGATTAAAGAAACGGCTTCATGTTAAATATATTCCTATCTAATATGAAGTATAACTTGACCTTTACTGTTTCAATAGAAGAGGTGAACTAAAAGTTACGGTAAAATCTAGGAAATGATTTAATTACTGAAACCCTTATATTTAATGGTTTCACCAAGAACTATCATGAAGTGGGTAAACAAACAGAATTCAGATCTCTTGATTGTTAGCTCAATAGATCTTTCTCATACAGAAATGTCAGCTCACTAGATCTTTCTCATACAGAAATGCCAGCTCACTAGGTCTTTCTTATAATACAGTTAGTGTCAGCTCACATGATCTTTCTTATAATACAGTAAAAGTGTCAGCTCATTAAATTTTTCTTATAATACAGTAAGTGTCAGCTCACTAGGTCTTTCTTATAAATACAGTAAGTGTCAGCTCACTAGGTCTTTCTTATAAATACAGTAAGTGTCAGCTCACTAGGTCTTTCTTATAATAGAGTAAGTGTCAGCTCACTAGATCTTTCTTATAACACAGTAAGTGTCAGCTCACTAGATCTTCCTTATAACACAGTAAGTGTCAGCTCACTAGATCTTCCTTATAACACAGTAAGTGTCAGCTCACTAGATCTTCCTTATAACACAGTAAGTGTCAGCTCACTAGATCTTCCTTATAACACAGTAAGTGTCAGCTCACTAGGTCTTTCTTATAAATACAGTAAGTGTCAGCTCACTAGGTCTTTCTTATAATACAGTGAGTGTCAGCTCAGTAGGTCTTTCTTATAATACAGTGAGTGTCAGCTCACTAGATCTTCCTTATAACACAGTAAGTGTCAGCTCACTAGATCTTCCTTATAACACAGTAAGTGTCAGCTCACTAGATCTTTCTTATAATACAGTAAGTGTCAGCTCACTAGATCTTCCTTATAATACAGTAAATGTCAGCTCACTAGATCTTTCTTATAATACAGTATGTGCCAACTCAATAGATCTTTTTAATAATACAATAAAAGTGTCAACCCACAGGATTTTTCCTATGATGCGTAAAAGACAGTTATTGTTAAATTTAGTACTGTTTGAAGTAATTTTTTTATTGTTTTCAGGGAAATGTTGAATCGATAAACAGTTTACTTCCTTATCGAAAACAGAACCAGAGAGAGCAGTATAGCACTGGTTTCCAGGTCAGGTGGGTACATTTAAGTGATATGAAACTACACCTCAGTCATGTGATATATCACAAGTTCCTTAATCAGGTGTGCACATTTTGTGACATACTAAAAATTACTGATCACCAAAGGCAGCCAGCTTGTAATCTAGTGCTTTGAAGCTGTGTGTTAGGGTGGTATTGGGAAGCTGACCTCAGCTGTGTGTTAGGGTGGTATTGGGAAGCTGACCCCAGCTGTGTGTTAGGATGGTATTGGGAAGCTGACCTCAGCTGTGTGTTAGGGTGGTATTGGGAAGCTGACCTCAGCTGTGTGTTAGGATGGTATTGGGAAGCTGACCTCAGCTGTGTGTTAGGATGGTATTGGGAAGCTGACCCCAGCTGTGTGTTAGGATGGTATTGGGAAGCTGACCTCAGCTGTGTGTTAGGGTGGTATTGGGAAGCTGACCCCAGCTGTGTGTTAGGATGGTATTAGGAAGCTGACCTCAGCTGTGTGTTAGGGTGGTATTGGGAAGCTGACCTCAGCTGTGTGTTAGGGTGGTATTGGGAAGCTGACCCCAGCTGTGTGTTAAGGTGGTATTGGGAAGCTGACCTCAGCTGTGTGTTAGGGTGGTATTGGGAAACTGACCTCAGCTGTGTGTTAGGGTGGTATTGGGAAGCTGACCCCAGCTGTGTGTTATGGTGGTATTGGGAAAGCTGACCTCCGCTGTGTGTTAGGGTGGTATTGGGAAGCTGACCCCAGCTGTGTGTTAAGGTGGTATTGGGAAGCTGACCTCAGCTGTGTGTTAGGGTGGTATTTGGAAGCTGACCCCAGCTGTGTGTTAGGGTGATATTGGGAAGCTGACCCCAGCTGTGTGTTAGGGTGGTATTGGGAAGCTGACCCCAGCTGTGTTGCATTAGTGCTCTCTGTATTTTTCTCAAATTACCAGATCTCTCAGTGATATGATTTTGATGAAGGCCAGTCTTGAATTGTCTTGGATGTTAGAATAGCAAAAAAAAAGATTTTTCATTTACACATTTAGATATATGAACTGGTACTAATAAATATAGAATATCAAATCCCTGCTATAATGCTGGAGTTCCTCTCAGTGGTGTATTACTGTGTGATGGTACAACCATTTTCTTGTCTTATCTCTGTCTTGGATAATGATGAGTCCCAGAGAGATTTAATTAATGGCATTGGCCAGAACATGATTACTTTTTATATTCACTCAACAGAAGTTACAGAAATCCCAACAGAGCCGAGATCATGGCTGATTTCAACAACATGTCTCGAAGACCTCGTACTGTGCCAGCTAACCGGCCAATAGTTCCTAGTCCATACTTTTTCAAATATTACAATGGTCCCTACAACAAGAGCAAGGAGGTAGACAGAGAGAAACCGTCCACAGCCTCACAGTTTGAGAGTAAGTCAAACCAAACACCTTTTATCAAATTGTACCAAACACAAGAATAATGACTGTTTATGACATAGATACTTTTGAACACTGTAGGAAAATGACAGTTGAAATTCAAAAGAAAATAATCTGGTAAATTTGTTTACATTTTAAGAGTACATCTTAAAAGTGTAGGCGAATTGATCTGTCAATTGGTTGCTCATCTTCTTTACTTTGCACCTCATTTGTCAGATGGCACAGTACAGTGTCTGAAACATCAAACATATATATATAACTTGCTGTGCTAATTTTAGCTTCATCTACATTATATACTTATCAACCTGAGGCTAATGTAATCAGGCTTGTTTTGTATTAGTTGCCCACACATCTATCTGTTTGTGAGATAAGCTGCAATTTTTACAGGTCTGTACTTATGTAACCTTCACTGACATTACTACATCAACCTGGTCTGTTTCTCATTGATCTGGCATTCATCATATTTCACCTTTTAATACATTGTGTAATTCATGATTTTATCAGAGAATTCCCTTTTTAGCAGTTGTAATGTAGGCTGCTTCCATTCATGATTAAGCACCAGAATCCTTTGAGAGTTTCATGTTAAGGTTGCAATGAAAAGATGAAAATGAATCAAGGGCTTGCTTTTTTTTATTTTCTTCCTGAATTATGTGTCATTGTACAAATATCCTCAATAATAGCATCAACAAAAACATGAAAACAATTGTTACTAATGAATCCTAAAAATGTAATATTTCACAAAATATGAAGCATATTACTCAGAATGACTTAGATTATACACTACCAGCCCAAAGAACAAGTGAACTTGTGCAGTGGTCTGAGTTGTCTGTTTTACATATGTTTTTAGGTTACATGAGATGAAGTCTCAGTGACCTATTGCGATCACATTTTGTGCAATGTTGTCCGTTGTGCTTCGTAAACAATTTACATCTTTTTTTACTTCTTCTCAATGACCCAGGGTCATGATATTGGGCCAGTAGCATGCTGGGATGAAGGGCTACCAAGTTTGTTTAACTGAATGACCTTGACTTACTTTCAAGGTTACAGGAGACAAATGTGATAAAATCTTTCACCAAATTTTTCTCAATAATAAAATGACCCAGGGTCATGATATTGGGGCAGTAGCATACTGAGATGAAGGGCTACCAAGTTTGTTCAAACAAATGACCTTGACCTATGTTCAAGGTCACAGGGATCATAGGTGTTAAAACTAAATAACTTCAAACTATGTGTTGTTCTCATGTACTTATATGTACAGTCTACAATCAGTAATTTTGTAAAGTATACCACTGAAACATACAATATAAGAGGTTACTTTCATAGTTGATTTTCATTGCAAGCTGAATCTGTCCTGATTACATAACAGTTCATATTTCTGTAAAAACAAAAGTGTATTCAAACACAATTATAATAAGCTCAATATCTGAATACAATGTGTCAGTCTGTGTTGTACCCAATATCTATATACAGTGTATCAGTCTGTGTTGTACCCAATATCTATATACAGTGTATCAGTCTGTACCTACTATCTATATACAGTGTATCAGTCTGTACCTACTATCTATATACAGTGTATCAGTCTGTGTTGTACCCAATATCTATATACAGTGTATCAGTCTGTGTTGTACCCAATATCTATATACAGTGTATCAGTCTGTGTTGTACCCAATATCTATATACAGTGTATCAGTCTGTACCTACTATCTATATACAGTGTATCAGTCTGTACCTACTATCTATATACAGTGTATCAGTCTGTGTTGTACCCAATATCTATATATACAGTGTATCAGTGTATTGTACCCTGTACCTATATCTATATACAGTGTATCAGTCTGTGTTGTACCCAATATATATATACAGTGTATAAGTCTGTACCTAATATATATATACAGTGTATCATTCTGTACCTACTATCTATATACAGTGTATCAGTCTGTGTTGTACCTATATCCCAGTGTACCTACTATCTATATACATGTACCTACTATCTATATACAGTGTATCAGTCTGTGTTGTACTATCTATATACAGTGTATAGTCTGTGTTGTATCCAATATCTATATACTACCTACTATCTATATACAGTGTATCAGTACCTACTATCTATATCTGTACCTACTATCTATATACAGTGTATCAGTCTGTGTTGTACCTACTATCTATATACAGTGTATCAGTCTGTGTTGTACCCAATATCTATATACAGTGTATCAGTCTGTACTTACTATCTATATACAGTGTATCAGTCTGTACCTACTATCTATATACAGTGTATCAGTCTGTACCTATTATCTATATACAGTGTATCAGTCTGTGTTGTACCCAATATCTATATACAGTGTATCAGTCTGTGTTGTACCCAATATCTACATACAGTGTATCAGTCTGTACCTACTATCTATATATAGTGTATCAGTCTGTACCTACTATCAGTCTGTACCTACTATCTATATACAGTGTATCAGTCTGTACCTACTATCTATATACAGTGTATCAGTCTGTACCTACTATCTATATACAGTGTATCAGTCTGTGTTGTACCCAATATCTATATACAGTGTATCAGTCTGTACCTACTATCTATATACAGTGTATCAGTCTGTACCTACTATCTATATACAGTGTATCAGTCTGTACCTACTATCTATATACAGTGTATCAGTCTGTACCTACTATCTATATACAGTGTATCAGTCTGTGTTGTACCTACTATCTATATACAGTGTATCAGTCTGTGTTGTACCTACTGTACCTACTATCTATATACAGTGTATCAGTCTGTACCTACTATCTATATACAGTGTATCAGTCTGTGTTGTACCTACTGTACCTACTATCTATATACAGTGTATCAGTCTGTGTTGTACCAAATATCTATATACAGTGTATCAGTCTGTGTTGTACCTACTATCTATATACAGTGTATTATCCAGTACCATTATTTATTATTGATAGATGTGTAGATATTAAGGATATTGATATTTTGTGATAGAGAATATATTTAGAACTTTAGTAGACAGAAGAATTTGCTGTTTCCAATATCTGATGTCATTTCATTATAGAATGTAATGCTTAAATGAACAAAGAGATATGACACATACAGACTCTACTAGCTAGATTTCCAATGTTCTCATTTTCTAGTCCAGTGATATTGTCATCGAAACATTCTGTCAGGTTAACTCTGTATATGATATTTTTTTCATACAGACCAATTTTCCACGCTGAACGGAACTTCCAAGATAATAGCTGCCCCTGGCGCTGGTTTGCTGTCCCGTTCACTCAAGTCCAGATCGGCTGCCTGGAGTGACAGTGATCTTAAGCTACACACAAAACTTCATGTAAGATCTAATCTACAGTCTTAATTGGGTGGTTGTCACTTTGTCACTGGTAACAAACTTACTGAGGAATGAGACATCCTCACAGAATTCTACTAACAGGTCCAACACCAAGTATTCATTTAGTTCTATAGAAAGAATCTAGTTTCTATGGTCTCCAAATAAAGGACAATTTCTTAAAAAGGCTTCAGTTTTGAGGGTATTTCCCTGATGCCCTTTTAGGAGTGACCTATTTGTAAACCCAGTGTCCTGATGGAGAAGGAAAAGTCCAATAGGATTAGAGTAATTATTGACTTTTAGAAATTGCCATTAGTTACAAACCATAGCAGTTTAAATATTGTTGATGGTGTTGAAATATTTTATAATAGGATTACATGTTCAAAAAAGAAAACCATTGAATGTATCCTATATGTTGACTTTTTAACTTGTATGAACCTTTGTGTTAAACTTGAAATTAATCAATAAAATTACAAGTGCTATCATTGCCAAATCTGCTTACAGGTTATAGATAAACAAAAGCATCTTAGAGCACGGTGTCAGTTAAGATTTCAACTTTACCAATTAATGAACCCATGTTAATTTAACAAAGTTTTGCTTTTATCGCCACATTGAGCTAAAATCTCATAAGCTATCATAACAAAACCCGGACTATTCTTATATCCATATAAAACCATCCCAACACACATTTCAGATCGGGATTTTCACCCAGTATACCGTTAATTGGTTTTTAACTGGGCAATGTTAATGTTTCCTGTTATGCTCGGTGTAGAACCTTATTTCTCTCTAAGCACTGAGCTACCATAACCAGACCAGGAATGTATTTATATCTTTATTCAATCATCCCAACACACATTTCAGATGATTTGACTTTGTTCATTAATTAGTCTATGTTAAAGTTTTCTCTTTATCTCAATGTTGAGCTGTATTTCTCTCAAATTACTTGAGCTGTCAAAACCAAACCTGGTATATACTTATATCTATGTATGACTCTCCCAACAAATGTTTCAGATTCTGAATTTCACCTACACTTCTTGATTTCTCTCTATATACATATTTTTAATCCTGATGATTGGGAGGTGCAGGGACAGTCACAAGAAAATTGATTACATGTAATTTTGTTAGGTCATCTGACCTGTAGGTTTTGGATGACCTAATTTATTGCAGGAAAATCATGTTTAATTAATGAAGTTTATTGAACCCCTCCGAGCCCAAAAAGAGGACATTAGCTTAAATTTTATTTTGAAATATTACTCATCCTGAGTGCCTGAATTGATTTCTACCAAATTCAGTCAAAAACTTCAATGGGGAAGACAATCATGTCATATATAAATAAGGTTGATCTGACTCCCAAGGACATGGGTCAGCAGGGAACAAAATTAGAAAAGATCTGCATAAAAGGTTGCTTTTAGACACCACTCTTCCTTAACACCTTGGTATATTTCAACTAAATATAGGTCTGAAACATTGATGGGGAAGAGCAATCGTTTCATCTAATGAAGTTGATCTGACTCCTTGGAATATTAAAGCTTGGCTAAAGTTTCCGAAAGATTGCTGTAAAATGCTACTTCTCCATAATACAAGAATGGATTTCAATCAAATTTTGGTCTGAAACATCTTTTGATGAGGGCAATCATTTCTTGAAAAATAAATGAGGTTGTTTGTTGATTCAACCTCTGCGGATGGAAGGGGGCATTAGGAGATTTAAGTAAAATTTTTGATTTGAAATGGTATTTCTCAACTCCTTACTGGAATTCAACCAATTTTGGACTAAAACAACATAATTATTCCAAAAATTTAAATAGTGTTTATTTGATCTCTTGTGACTAATTTAGGGGAGATGTATCCCAAATAGGGGATAGGCTTAAAATCCTTCTCTTCCTCCTTCTTACTTTCAATCTGTAAATACATTTTGTCTAAAAAATGAGGTTGTTCTGACCCTTGGAGCTAGAGACACAGGACCCAATAGGGGAAATTAAAGTGTATTGTGAACTCTGAATATGTTTGGTCTGAAACATTTTAACAGAACTGAAATGCTTTGTTTAAATGTCACTGATGGACATGTGATCGTCTGGGGCAAGAAGGGCAGAACCCATTTCTCTACATAATATGTTGCTAACTGATACATGACCACCATGTTTTGACTAATATGGATAACATATTGATCATGATTTCCATCTTGGAAAATAGATTTTAGTAGGAGTTTGCTAAAAGTGATGTGAATGTTAAAGAGATAATCATTCTCCCTGCTATTAGTCTTTGTGTAGGCCGGTGGGCCTCTTCTTATTTCATAACTTCAATATTAACATCACATTTTGATTTGATGTTTTCTTGTGTTTTCAGACTCATCCAGCGGTATACCTATTTTTGTCTATTATAGCATTCTTTCACATCATAAACCTTTGTGTTAAAGTTGTCTAGCTATTTTTCCTGTAAATTCTGACATTTGACATTTAGCACTAATGAATTTGGTTTGATCTAAATTAGAAAAGAAAATGTTTACCAGTCTGGGTGTTCTTTTCTCATTAATTTCTGACTTGTCCTGCAGTTTACATGTACAGCAACATGTATTTTTTTAATGGTTTTGTTGTTTGTTTTGTTTTGTTTTGTTTTTTTTGTTTTTTGGGGTTTGTTTTGCTCTATTCTGTTAGCTTCTATTACATCTTCCATTTCACCATGTTAGTCCAAAATAACCTTATTGTAGATTTGATGGTCCCTTGAATGGTTGAAAAACAAAACAAAAACTGCTGTTTACAACTTTCTCTTACTCCACTGCAGAAGTGTCCTTATCTTCTAATAGAAAATTCATCTATTATTAACTTGAAATTGATCATTCATTGTAAGGGAATGTGTCCTAATAAGGAAGGAGTGTGGTTGCAATGTTTAATCCTGTATATCTTAAGAATCTCCATGGTAACATCAATATAATTTGATTGGTGTCTTTTCTTTATATACCCTAATATCAAAATACCGCATTTTAAAACATGACTATTCACATGTGGTAATTGAATCGTGCTCGACTAATGTAACAGACAGGTAATATTTACTGCCAGAATCTCATCAATCCAGTTTCAGAAATTTAGAGAATACTGTATTATCATTATTATTTGTGAGGAATTTATTTTCACTGAATTCATGGCTACTCTAACTCCATGAATAGCCAACAAATGATAAATTGATTTAAACTGACAAAGATTATACTACTAGTGGATTTTGTGAACAAGAACCAAGAAATTTGAGCCCCATGGAGAAGATATATTTTACAGACAGTGATATTGAAATGAATGTCTTCTGCTAACATGTAAAAGTTTCATCGGTAAGGAATGTTAAATGCATAGAAATATTAGAAATATTACAAAAGTTGAAATAATTGTTTACAGTATTAATATGTGGACAAATATGATATCTATTCAGAGAGGTATGTTAACTATCTAGAGAAGTATGGTAGATATCCAGAGAGGTATGTTAACTATCTAGAGAGTATGGTAGCTATCCAGAGAGGTATGGTAGCTATCCAGAGGGGTATGGTATCTATCCAGAGATGTACAGTAGCTATCCAGAGGGGTATGGTATCTATACAGAGATGTACAGTAGCTATCTAGAGAGGTATGGTAGCTATTCAGAGAGGTATGGTATCTATCTAGAGAGGTATGGTAGCTATTCAGAGAGGTATGATAGCTATCTAGAGAGGTATGGTAGCTATCCAGAGAGTATGGTAGCTATCTGGAGAGGTATGGTAGCTATCTAAAGAGTATGGTAGCTATCTAGAGATGTATGGTAGCTGTCCAGAGGGGTACAGTATCTATCCAGAGATGTACGGTAGCTATCCAGAGATGTACGATAGCTATCCAGAGGGGTATGGTATCTATCCAGAGATGTACGGTAGCTATCCAGAGGGGTATGAGGCTATACCTGTCTTACAAAGCTACTCTAGAGGTACAGTGGATATATAAGGGTAGATACAACATTGAGCTTTTATTAATTACAATGGAAATATTTTAAGTTAGCATTATTGAACAGTCGATAAAAATGGAACACTTGTAAATATATATGTTTCATGAAATTTTTTCCTGTTTGTAGTGTGATCAGTGTTTGTGTTTGTATTTTGTAGTGTGATCAGTGTTTGTATTTTGTAGTGTTAACAGTGTTCCTGTTTGTATTTTGTAGTGTGACCAGTGTTTGTGTTTGTACTTTGTAGTGTGACCAGTGTTTGTATTTTGTAGTGTTAACAGTGTTTGTGTTTGTATTTTGTAGTGTGACCAGTGTTTGTGTTTGTATTTTGTAGTGTGACCAGTGTTTGTGTTTGTATTTTGTAGTGTTACCAGTGTTCCTGTTTGTATTTTGTAGTGTGACCAGTGTTTGTGTTGTATTTTGTAGTGTGATCTGTGTTTGTGTTTGTATTTTGCAGTGTGACCAGTGTGTGTGTTTGTATTTTGTAGTGTGACCAGTGTCTGTATTTTGTAGTGTTACCAGTGTTCCTGTTTGTATTTTGTAGTGTGACCAGTGTTTGTGTTGTATTTTGTAGTGTGATCTGTGTTTGTGTTTGTATTTTGCAGTGTGACCAGTGTGTGTGTTTGTATTTTGTAGTGTGACCAGTGTCTGTATTTTGTAGTGTAACCAGTATTTCTGTTTGTATTTTGTAGTGTGACCAGTGTTTGTGTTTGTATTTTGTAGTGTTACCAGTGTTTGTGTTTGTATTTTGTAGTGTGACCAGTGTTTGTGTTTGTATTTTGTAGTGTGACCAGTGTTCCTGTTTGTATTTTGGAGTATTACCAGTGTTTGTGTTTGTATTTTGTAGTGTGACCAGTGTTTGTGTTTCTATATTGCCTAGAATGTGGTTGGCACTTCTTACAAAGCCCAAACATTGTTTGAACATTTATGAGTCATGTTTTCTTAATTCCAAATCCAGTTCTATCAAAATTTTGTTTTATTGACCCATAAATGTTAGTGTGAATTATCTCTAATAACTGGTAGTATGACACCTTCATCTGGTGGGGCCATACTTGTCCTGCATATGAATCTTGATTCCTCATAAATCGATGGATTGTAGAAATAGCAATAAAATATTTCTCATGCATGAGATTATATATTGCTAATTGTGTGGGGCATTGCACTAAATATGGTTTTGTGTGGTCGTCATGGTAACATTTGTACTAAAGAAGTGTATTAAATACCATTCTGTCAGCAGAGCTTTGGCACTGGTTTTTCTCCTTTTCTCTTTCTTTCATCAACATGATATTTTTGTACAGATTAATGTATCATAGTAAAGTTGATTCTGTGATTATCAAAATGTTTGCCACAATCAGAAGTTACCAGGAAAATACATAAATGTCAGTTCTTATTTGGTAAACATGTGTTAAATATAGGCATTACTTTTCTGGTTTGGGGATAGGCAGTGTCAACATGTGTGTTAAACTCCAAATTGTTCAACTTTATTACAAGTGCTGTTATCACAAACCCTGCTTAATGGTTATGAATAAACAAGAGTGTCTTACTACATTGTTTCAGTTCAGATTTTAACACAAAGTTGACAATTAATTTGACTTTGTTAATTAATGTTTTCCCTTCATCTCCATGTTGAGCTTTATTTCTCAGGAAATATTTAATCCATCATAACCAAATCAGGAGTCTGTGTATTTCTATGTATGTCATCCCAACACACATTTCTAAATTCTGATTTTTATGTACAGTTTTCTGTATATTATACTTTATTTATTAGCTGCACCATGTAAGAGTTTTCTTTGATATCTGTTGAACTTTGCTCATCTCAAAGTACATATTGCTGTCCTAACCTGATCTCAGGTTCTAAATGTCACGTATACTTTACTATTAATTAAACCATGTTAGTTCATTGTGTTAAGTGTTTAAGTTTTCTGTTATAAGGTACACAGGTGTTATAAAATATGCAGGTGTTATAGGATATAAACTGCAACTGGATATAGATATGGGGCAAAGTGAATATATGTTATATATATCTATTGCTTGTACATTACTTTAGGTACGTTGGGTATAGTTCTCATATTAAAATATCAAAATAAGTGTACCTTGAAAAATATCATTTCTTTTATGATAACGCAATGCCAGTGTGATCAGCTTTTCCAATCAATCTGTATAATATTAATGTTCTTTGATAACAGTACCTATGCAGTGTTGGAATAACGTCCCACACAACTAACACGGTAGATCTTACTTGTATACTAAAGGTGAATATATTTTTCCTTTGTAGTGTGTAGTGTGACCAGTGTTTGTGTTTGTATTTTGTAGTGTTACCAGTGTTTAGGGTACTCCGTCAGAGCACATTGATGACGACACAGATATCAGAGGTAAGCCTTTATTTTCATCTATAATGATAGTGTATGCAGGGTATAAACTGTGCTCATTCAGAGTTTGAGATAATACAGGTTAAAAACAATACCAAAACAAGACATTTGTCTCTGGTAGAGTTTGAGATAATAAAGGTTAAAAACAATACCAAAACAAGACATTTGTCTCTGGTAGAGTTTGAGATAATAAAGGTTAAAAACAATACCAAAACAAGACATTTGTCTCTGGTAGAGTTTGAGATAATAAAGGTTAAAAACAATACCAAAACAAGACATTTGTCTGTGGTAGAGTTTGAGATAATACAGGTTAAAAACAATACCAAAACAAGACATTTGTCTCTGGTAGAGTTTGAGATAATAAAGGTTAAAAACAATACCAAAACAAGACATTTGTCTCTGGTAGAGTTGTGTAAAAGAATGGGTAAAATCAATACCAAAACAAGACATTTGTCTCGTAGAGTTTGAGATAATACAGGTTAAAAACAATACCAAAACAAGACATTTGTCTCTGGTAGAGTTTGAGATAATACAGGTTAAAAACAATACCAAAACAAGACATTTGTCTCTGGTAGAGTTTGAGATAATAAAGGTTAAAAACAATACCAAAACAAGACATTTGTCTCTGGTAGAGTTTGAGATAATACAGGTTAAAAACAATACCAAAACAAGACATTTGTCTCTGGTAGAGTTTGAGATAATACAGGTTAAAAACAATACCAAAACAAGACATTTGTCTCTGGTAGAGTTTGAGATAATAAAGGTTAAAAACAATACCAAAACAAGACATTTGTCTCTGGTAGAGTTTGAGATAATACAGGTTAAAAACAATACCAAAACAAGACATTTGTCTCTGGTAGAGTTTGAGATAATACAGGTTAAAAACAATACCAAAACAAGACATTTGTCTCTGGTTATAAATTCATACAAAAAGGTGATACTAAATCAGGATTGAAAAAGACTCATTTTTAACTGTGATATCACAGTACTGATTAAAGGACAGTTATAACTTTCATGAAATAAATGTATGCATGTACACATTTATAATTCAGATAAATGTCATGTACGCTAACTAAAGACATTTATAGTTTGGTTAAGTGTCATGAACACTAACTAAAGACATTTATAGTTTGGTTCAGCGTCATGTCCACTAACTAAAGACATTTATAGTTTGGTTCAGTGTCATGTACACTAACTAAAGACATCTATAGTTTGGTTCAGTGTCATGTACACTAACTAAAGACATTTATAGTTTGGTTCAGTGTCATGAACACTAACTAAAGACATTTATAGTTTGGTTCAGTGTCATGTACACTAACTAAAGACATCTATAGTTTGGTTCAGTGTCATGTACACTAACTAAAGACATCTATAGTTTGGTTCAGTGTCATGTACACTAACTAAAGACATTTATAGTTTGGTTCAGTGTCATGAACACTAACTAAAGACATTTATAGTTTGGTTCAGTGTCATGTACGCTAACTAAAGACATTTATAGTTTGGTTCAGTGTCATGTACGCTAACTAAAGACATTTATAGTTTGGTTCAGTGTCATGAACACTAACTAAAGACATTTATAGTTTGGTTAAGTGTCATGAACACTAACTAAAGACATTATATTTTGGTTCTGTGTCATGTACGATAACTAAAGACATTTATAGTTTGGTTCAGTGTCATGTACGCTAACTAAAGGCATTATAATTTGGTTCAGTGTCATGTACGCTAACTAAAGACATTATATTTTGGTTCAGTGTCATGTACACTAACTAAAGACATCTATAGTTTGGTTCAGTGTCATGTACGCTAACTAAAGACATTTATAGTTTGGTTCAGTGTCATGTACACTAACTAAAAACATCTATAGTTTGGTTCAGTGTTATGTACACTAACTAAAGACATCTATAGTTTGGTTCAGTGTCATGTACACTAACTAAAAACATCTATAGTTTGGTTCAGTGTCATGTACGCTAACTAAAGGCATTATAGTTTGGTTCAGTGTCATGTACACTAACTAAAAACATCTATAGTTTGGTTCAGTGTCATGTACACTAACTAAAGACATCTATAGTTTGGTTCAGTGTCATGTACACTAACTAAAGACATTATATTTTGGTTCAGTGTCATGTACGCTAACCAAAGACATTTATAGTTTGGTTCAGTGTCATGAACACTAACTAAAGACATCTATAGTTTGGTTCAGTGTCATGTACACTAACTAAAGACATTTATAGTTTTGTTCAGTGTTGTACGCTAACTAAAGACATTTAAAGTTTGGTTCAGTGTCATGTACACTAACTAAAGACATTATATTTTGGTTCAGTGTCATGTACGCTAACTAAAGACATTGATAGTTTGGTTCAGTGTCATGTACGCTAACTAAAGACATCTATAGTTTGGTTCAGTGTCATGTACGCTAACTAAAGACATTATATTTTGGTTCAGTGTCATGTACACTAACTAAAGACATCTATAGTTTGGTTCAGTTTGTCAGTGTGTACGCTAACTAAAGACATTTATAGTTTGGTTCAGTGTCATGTACACTAACTAAAAACATCTATAGTTTGGTTCAGTGTTATGTACACTAACTAAAGACATCTATAGTTTGGTTCAGTGTCATGTACACTAACTAAAAACATCTATAGTTTGGTTCAGTGTCATGTACGCTAACTAAAGGCATTATAGTTTGGTTCAGTGTCATGTACACTAACTAAAAACATCTATAGTTTGGTTCAGTGTCATGTACACTAACTAAAGACATCTATAGTTTGGTTCAGTGTCATGTACACTAACTAAAGACATTATATTTTGGTTCAGTGTCATGTACGCTAACCAAAGACATTTATAGTTTGGTTCAGTGTCATGAACACTAACTAAAGACATCTATAGTTTGGTTCAGTGTCATGTACACTAACTAAAGACATTTATAGTTTTGTTCAGTGTCATGTACGCTAACTAAAGACATTTAAAGTTTGGTTCAGTGTCATGTACACTAACTAAAGACATTATATTTTGGTTCAGTGTCATGTACGCTAACTAAAGACATTGATAGTTTGGTTCAGTGTCATGTACGCTAACTAAAGACATCTATAGTTTGGTTCAGTGTCATGTACGCTAACTAAAGACATTTATAGTTTGGTTCAGTGTCATGTACACTAACTAAAAACATCTATAGTTTGGTTCAGTGTCATGTACACTAACTAAAGACATCTATAGTTTGGTTCAGTGTCATGTACACTAACTAAAAACATCTATAGTTTGGTTCAGTGTCATGTACACTAACTAAAGACATCTATAGTTTGGTTCAGTGTCATGTACGCTAACTAAAGACATTTATAGTTTGGTTCAGTGTCATGAACACTAACTAAAGACATCTATAGTTTGGTTCAGTGTCATGTACACTAACTAAAGACATTTATAGTTTGGTTCAGTGTCATGTACGCTAACTAAAGACATTTATAGTTTGGTTCAGTGTCATGTACACTAACTAAAGACATTATATTTTGGTTCAGTGTCATGTACGCTAACTAAAGACATTTATAGTTTGGTTCAGTGTCATGTACGCTAACTAAAGACATCTATAGTTTGGTTCAGTGTCATGTACGCTAACTAAAGACATCTATAGTTTGGTTCAGTGTCATGTACGCTAACTAAAGACATTTATAGTTTGGTTCAGTGTCATGTACACTAACTAAAAACATCTATAGTTTGGTTCAGTGTCATGTACACTAACTAAAGACATCTATAGTTTGGTTCAGTGTCATGTACACTAACTAAAAACATCTATAGTTTGGTTCAGTGTCATGTACGCTAACTAAAGGCATTATAGTTTGGTTCAGTGTCATGTACACTAACTAAAAACATCTATAGTTTGGTTCAGTGTCATGTACACTAACTAAAGACATCTATAGTTTGGTTCAGTGTCATGTACACTAACTAAAGACATTATATTTTGGTTCAGTGTCATGTACGCTAACTAAAGACATTTATAGTTTGGTTCAGTGTCATGAACACTAACTAAAGACATCTATAGTTTGGTTCAGTGTCATGTACGCTAACTAAAGACATTATATTTTGGTTCTGTGTCATGTACGATAACTAAAGACATTTATAGTTTGGTTCAGTGTCATGTACACTAACTAAAGACATTTATAGTTTGGTTCAGTGTCATGTACACTAACTAAAGACATTTATAGTTTGGTTCAGTGTCATGTATACTAACTAAAGACATTTATAGTTTGGTTCAGTGTCATGTACACTAATTAAAGACATTTATAGTTTGGTTCAGTGTCATGTACACTAACTAAAGACATTATATTTTGGTTCAGTATCATGTACGCTAACTAAAGACATTTATAGTTTGGTTCAGTGTCATGAACACTAACTAAAGACATCTATAGTTTGGTTCAGTGTCATGTACACTAACTAAAAACATTTATAGTTTGGTTCAGTGTCATGTACACTAACTAAAGACATTTATAGTTTGGTTCAGTGTCATGTACACTAACTAAAGACATTTATAGTTTGGTTCAGTGTCATGAACACTAACTAAAGACATCTATAGTTTAGTTCAGTGTCATGTACGCTAACTAAAGACATTTATAGTTTGGTTCAGTGTCATGAACACTAACTAAAGACATCTATAGTTTGGTTCAGTGTCATGTACACTAACTAAAGACATTTATAGTTTGGTTCAGTGTCATGTACGCTAACTAAAGACATTATATTTTGGTTCTGTGTCATGTACGATAACTAAAGACATTTATAGTTTGGTTCAGTGTCATGTACACTAACTAAAGACATTTATAGTTTGGTTCAGTGTCATGTACACTAACTAAAGACATTTATAGTTTGGTTCAGTGTCATGTATACTAACTAAAGACATTTATAGTTTGGTTCAGTGTCATGTACACTAATTAAAGACATTTATAGTTTGGTTCAGTGTCATGTACACTAACTAAAGACATTATATTTTGGTTCAGTGTCATGTACGCTAACTAAAGACA